CTGCGTTCCGGGTGGCCCTGCCTGCCGGGGGGGAGGGAGGGGGGGGAACAGCTTCTCCGCTCGCTTGCTCCCTCCCTCCCAGAAAGTCCTAAGCGCCAAACACCTGTTTGGCGATGGGGGAAGCGCTGGGAGGAAGGGAGGGGAAGGAGGTGGAGAAGAGGAACTTGTGCAATGCTCCTTTGTAAAGTCAGCCAAACGATGTTATAAGGGAACATTGCACAACTTTAAATGATTATGTTCCCTAATGGAGCAGCGACATAACTTCGAAACAACATTGAGCGGGAAGACTAAGTGAGGAGTTACTGTACACTAAGTCATAACAGTATACGTATACTAGTAGACACCTAGATCGAATGAACTAGTAGGAACGGGTGACTTCAAATACCTGCATATCATCTGATCACATGACACCATCAGGACAAGGTTTAGAGAAAAGAGTTCTCAACATTTTAAGTGATTACTTCTTGGTACAGCTAGTTCACAGACCACACCAGAGTGGCGGCTAGTCACAATTTGACAAGTTAGACATAAACTTTGATTTGAGAAACAAGAGAAACAACAAGAGTAAAGCCACTAATAATGATTACAATAAGTTCAACATTATCATAGGAGAGCTTGACAATAATTATGTCAAAGATAGAGCTGAAAAAGAAATGTTTTCAGAAGTTGTATAAAGGCAGAAGTGGCAGCCCAAGGTTGATGTCAAGAGGATAGATTTCCATATCTTAAGGGCCACCATAGAAAAAACTTGGTCACCTTGTAATCTAAGATTCGATAGTAGAACATCTAAAAGGGTGAGTAGGGATATGATTGGGGTTGTATATACTAGCATAAATATTTTAAATATGTCCAGAAGTCTAACGACTTGGAGATTTAAATACAGATGGATTATAATAGTTTAGGATTGTGGATGCTCAAAATATGGCTCTAGAAGAAATAATGTAACAGCTAATTAATCTTGCTCCAAAGCTGCAATAATTTTAAATCTCTCTATGTAAGGTACTTATTATGGCAGCCTTACTGTAGTATAGGAGTACCTCACAATCTAATGCATTTATCCTGAGAGGCTACAATCTCAGTGACACAAAACAACAAAATCCACCTTTCACCCCCCTTCCCACCCTTCTCTTTGTTAAATCCCCTCTATCACTTTAATTTACCCTACCATAATTATGCCCTCCTTCAGCCAACCTCAGCCTTCTGATAGAAGGCTACAGTAGATGTCAATTTCTTCCCCTCTGCTCTCTTCACTCTGGGTGG